GGAATTAATCATGAGATCCTCAGAGTGAAAAGGTTAAGAGGCACTGGCTTCATTAGAAATAGTGACTGGTTTTATATTGGAAAAGAAAAAAACACATCAAATCTCTCAACTGCTTCGTGGTAAAATGGGAACTGCTCAAATAATTATTTGTCAACTTCACATACCTTTACAAGAGAGAAGTCACTTGGGTAGTCACTGGCAGGATTATGCCGAGGGATAATTTTCCAGGATTTAACAGAGGACAAATCAAGGGCTGACATGACATATCCATCCCTAGCTGAAGTGGTATAGTATCCATTGAAGACAACAATGTATTCTACAAAAAATTACAAAATTGTTATCATAAGATTAAAAACTGAGTGTCAGAAATACATGTGTTCAGCTAATGAGAAGAAATATTTATATATTGACGAGAGTTAACAGAAAATTATCTACACTAGAATTAGAGAAAATGTATGAAAAAAAATTAGGAGAATTGATTTCATATCTTCACCGTGAAATGGTTAAAACAAGCATGGCCATATGAACACTCAGGTTGTGCAAAATCAATCACTTCAATAATAAAATCATCATCATCCAATCATTAGTTTTTGGTAAATTATTTGGAAACAACAAATAATAATGATTGGCATTTTACTCTGCTTTCTAATAAAGAAGAGAGATTAGCAACATTGGATTTGATTAAGTCCCTAATATGTTAATTACTCCATATGAAGAGCTACGACTGTCTTTTACTTCTAAATGTACTTTGACTTCCACTCCAGTTAAATACACCATTTCTATCAAAAGGCAAATGCTCATGCGATTAACTCAACCACATGGAAATTTAGAGGTAAGAATAGTGAAATTAACCTTATACCTGGTTTTGTGATTTAATCTGTACATGTAAGTGAAAACCTTTACAATAATTTTAGCAATTTTAAATTCATATTTCAGACAGTAACAAATTTACATCTTCAAGATGGTGTAATTATAAGAATTATCGTTCTGCAAGATTCTCAATCGCTACTTTGCAAGAGAACGGTGTTTCTAATAAATCACGAGGTTCTGAAATCACACTTGTAAAAGCCCGATTGGTTTGCGCTGTTTCGTAAGGGCAATCACTGAACTCACTAAGGGGCTTCACATTGACTTTGATGCAAAATCACTGTAACGACCACTTTATCTCAATTTCCACACCACTAAAAGTTCTACACTAAACCTAAATCTTCAAATATCTCCATCTTAACTTGAAGTATTCTCATCGTAGATATAAAATAACATTTGATGATAAACGCAGAAAACGTGCCTTTTAAATCCAAATAGTAAAGACCATGCACATGTAAGAAAGACGAGTCTACACACACACACACATCCTGTTTACAAAAAGAAACTCTCGATCGAGGCGACTCAAATGATGTTCTCACCGTTTTCGACAACGGAGGTCTTGTAATCGAAGAAGGATTCCTTTGCGACGGAAGGCGATGAAGAATTACGAGAACAGTTTTCGAACGGTGTTTCATGAGACGAGTTAACAAGAAGGCATGAAAGACAAAACATCACCCAACCGCGTCGCCACCGACAGCCATGCTTCTTTCCCGTGGCAGGCATGGGCCTAAAGTAACGTTCATCAATCGTCTGCTAAAGCCAGTCCATCTCAGTCGAGAAAAGCGGATAGAGAACTCGATGTTATAAGAAACTACTATCTTCACTTGAAATGCTCTTCACACCATTAAAACATGAAATGGTTTTGGAAGGTAATCATGTGACGGTGACATCGAGCCGTGATTGGCTGCATCTCCCGGCGCACGGAAACAAACTGACCTTGTGAGGAATGTAGTTGACCATCAATAGCTTTGCGAAGAAGTTATTGCCATGGGTAACTCACTATTTTCATGTTGGGAAGACAAAAAGAAATCAGCTGAGCTACACACACAAACAAAGTGCGAATAGGTTTTAATATTATTTACTAGTCGTACTTAAGAGAGAAATAAAAAAAAAAAAGGAAAAAGAAAGAAAGAAAAAGGGAAAAAATGAAAGGAATAATAACTAGATTTTTCAAACGTATTAAAGGATTGGTACGATAAACTGTAAATCACAGAGGATGAGGAAATTCGGGTGAGAAAGTGCTCAAAGCTGGGATGGAAGACTTCCACGTGTTATGGTAAATGGAAAAAAAAACCAATATTTGATAGAAGACTCCATATGGCAACAAACGTGGAGTAGTGGTCAGCGGTTTCCAACAGAAAAGTCAAGGGCAGAGCGCGTAATCCAACTGAATCTGAAATCAATTTCAAGAAAGCAAAATAAAAACAATCAAACCGACAAAAGTATACAAACAAACAAACTTAAAAAGAAAAGATGTTCATGATCATTCAAACCATACTGCCTAGTATTTTTCTCTGTTTCTTTTACGGCTGTCATCCGGATTCATCACGCAACACGCTCATTGCGTGAGAGAGTGCGTGATGCATAACGAGCCAAAGAAGGAGAGTAGATTTGTAGATATTATCTTTGAACCCCGTTCCACAGTTCTAGTTCATAACATATACCCCAGAATTACCAGAAAGGCGATGAGAGGAGCGGGAGGGTGGGGTGGAGGAGGGAGCCCACAGACCCGCAGACCCCAATCTTCATCAGCTTTCATGTGCCCGAAGCCCTGCTTTTCCCTTAAGCAGGGACATGCCTAGAATTTTTTTTATCTATTTGTAGTTCTTCGGAAATTTTCAAAAGCTACTGAACAACCAAAATAAGGACTCCCTTAGTTGTGGAAACGCAAGTGGACGCAAGCACATGCGCTGCGATGCCGTTACACACCATCTACCACAAACAGCTCAAAAATGATGAAATTAATAAACCCCATCCCCTCCAATTATATATATTTAATTTGCATTACTGTAAGTTAGGCAGACTTTGACTAGCTTTTATATTCTCTAAGTCTTTCTATTTTGGGAATAAGACAGGAGAAAACTGATCCTGAAAGTAGTAACATCGGAGATCGGACGTACCGCAACCAATTCCGAGAAATTAAGGAAATCAGATACGATTCATGACGTGTAAGTGTCACCGTCCAAAGGACCCAACTGCAAGAGTAAGAAGAGGCTCTTCGGAACTTAAGATTATTGCAGCGATTCGGCATTGCGATCAGTTGGAAAACATAAAAGTCAAATGGGTTTCCACTTTGTAAGCAGTGGTCAAGAATTCACAGACGTTACTTTGAAGAATATTTGTGATACTGCGACCAATAACGACCTTAACTCGACAGAATTCGCATCTCAACTCATCACCGCAAGTTGTGCTGCGGCATTCTATTTGGTTATGTTCTTCTTGGGCATTCTCGGTGTCTGGTTCCAGCCCTGTCTTAGAGTTTCTTCTTCGCAAGGAGCACTCTTCGCATTTTTCGTGGGGGCACTAATTACCTGTATAAATGTATTTACAAATGCACACGACCTCTTGGTGAAGTTGAGCTTCCGGCTTTTCACAACAATACTTATTGGAATAATTTTCATAATCTTTGGTGCCTGGCGTTTCTTTGAAATGCCAAACAGAGCTCGAGGAGAAGCCAACCCACAGGGGAATGATAGACCGCCCCTCGGTAAACAACAGCCTTCCATGGGTCTGGTAGTTTCCTTGTTAACCTTTCCTTTGGTCATTATCGAGATTGTGCTGATTTGCGCATCGTTTAGCTCCAATATAACGGACGAGACGAAAAGAAGCTTGGCGGATAAAGACTGGCGCTTAGTTAACGCGGACAAGACTGTTTTCCTTATTCAGAAGATTTTCCAAGTTGTTACCTATCTGTATCTGCGGAACACTACAATTTCCCAAGGATACGAAGAGAACGTTCGGTTTTATTTTAGATTATTATCTTTTTTCAACTTCATCGAGTGGATAGACGCGCAAGAAAATATAGACGACGACGTAGCTTTAACTGGAATCAGTGCAGAATTTGACGGCTGGTTCAATTTATTGACAGTTCTATACACAGCATTGATCATAGATTATCGCTTATTGTGTGCACTACTGTTTCTTGAACATTCTGTTGAAGTTCATATTCACGCGGACCCGGCCGATGAGAATGACAATGGCGGTGGTAATCAAGAAATGTCGCCTTGTGATGAAGTCAAAAGAGCATTCGGATTTGCTCTTGACAGCTTCTGCCTCGTAGCCCCTGTCTTCGGTGCTTTATATTTTGTGCCTGCATTCAATCTAAAAGCAGGGGTCAATATGTTTGCTATTATTGTCAACATAGTAGTCGTTGTTTGTGGAATTTGTCTGCTCTGCTTCAACGAATTGGGGACCGTTCCCATTCACCTTAGAGAATCGCAAGGTGTTAAAATAATGGTAAGTCTCTGTAAATTTCTTTGACAACTTAAAAAGCAGTGTGTTTTTTACAATTTTTCATGTCATCTGTGCGATGCAGATTATGTCGGGTATACAGCCCGACACCTTCATCAACGCATTGCTGAGCACAAAAATTCGGCAATCGGTAGACATTTTCTTAGAAGCTCATGGTAACAACAACCTTTTGAGAGAAAGCCAATTCACGGTTTTAAGAAAGTGCCAGAGCAAATTTGATTGCTTAGTATTCGAAATGCTCTTCATTAAGAAACTTAAGCCCAATTTAAATATTCAGACGGACTCCATACGTGCGAAACTCTTTGTTTGATATTTCCTCACGTTACAATTTTTTTAATCAGCTATTGTTGTTTTTTTTAGTATTTATAGACCAAAACTCACTATCTTATTTTGACTTGATAATGACGTTCAGCTAACGTCGAAACGTCGTCGCTTTTTAGCAATTTTTTTAATCTTGAAATGATTTTACGAAATGTTTTATCGCAATTTTTTATAGCGAAAAACTTAAAAAAAATGATTGATTGAAGTGAATATTTTGGCCTTCTGTGAGCCTCTTACAGTCTGCTTCGATGCCTCGACCCATCACACCGGAACCTTTTTCCGAGAAAATTTGTCTGTTAAAGATGTCAGCGACGTTTTGTCATCGACATTGTCCTGAGTCTATGTGAACAACTAACCTATCATTCTCCACTGCGGTCAGTTCACGTTTATGGTCGATGCACCCACGCAACTTCAGGGTAAAATCCAGTAAAAGACCAGTTTGAATGCCAACTAGAGCCATGAAGCCGAGTAATTATGACAACTTATTTTTTATAATATACCTCAGTGAGGTGAAACCGAGATTTTACAAATTAAATTGTTATGATTACTCGGCTTCATCGGCTCTAGCTAAGATCGCTTCGGGAAATGTTTAATTTTGGTATATCGAATATGAGACACTGTGCATGTCGAAGTGAACAAGCTCAATAGCTTGCAATACTCCAACCTTTTCTTCTTTCCTCTGATAGGTTTGTTGCCTGGGTGCTGTAGGATTTACATGCTGGTTCGTGGAGGCAGTCATAGCTTGTTTTTGGGCTGCTAAAGAGAAACACAGAGGCGATATCAGGAATCTCCCCCCGCCATACATCCCTTGGACTGCCGCTAAGTTTATTATACGAAGTATAGCAACAGCATTCCTCATTTTCTTGTTCACCAACATCAACGCCCGAGCTTTGCCCGTACTAAATCAGAGCATTAAAAACTATGTTCTTGTACCTGCTGTGATGTTAGGGGTGCTCTCCATGTTTGGAGAGGGTTTGGTTGACCAAAAATTTGGACGAGTGGATGATCTTCTCAGGTTTGTAAGCGTTTAGCATCACAAAGTATAATGTATTCTAAAACAGTGGATAGCATTGAAGGCGCGCTCTGATTGGCTACTCAAACTCCAGATATCCTTTGCTATTCACCACCGAGTAACTTACGTGGGATTTGCTCCCGAAAATTAATGTAATCGTTGCAAGAATGTCGGTGGGTAGTGCTGGATATTTACCTCGTTGCTTCGCGGCTTGATCGGTAAATATCCACCACTGGCTACATCCTCTTCGGTGAATAGTTGTTGTCAATAAACAATCGGATTGTTTACGGGTGATAATTTATTTCTAAATTTGCACTTTAGTTATTTGATTACTTGTTAGTGATTTATATTTAACGTCAACATTTTGCTATCAATTTCCTGCTCTGTTTGTGATTGATTGACGTGCTCTCAGCCAGTCAGGCATGCTAAAATATTTGCACGTGTAAAACAAGGCGCGCCACTGAACGATGCTTTATCAGTCAGCTTTCAAAATCAACTTCGTACCCAGATCTCCTGCTTTTCTTTCAAGGGATTTCTTTCGAGACTTGGATCATTGTGTTTTGATGTATTACAAGAAATTTAACTCCCATATTGCCCCTTTCCACCCGCAGTACAAATGACTTCTGGAGATAGCCAGGGAAACCTAACCAAATGTTTGGTGGGGGAAAACTTACAACGGACTGGCATTCTATACAGGGGGAGTTAAAAACCCCTTTAATTGCTGCATGCTATAGAAAATAGGTTAACCTCCTGCTGAATAGGCAACTTTACTCGATTGCACTTAATTTTTAATGTAGCTGAAATTTAAGTTTTGTTCAACAAAGGAAAAAGTTCGCGTAACCAAGGATTCAAGTTAATGATATTCGGATGTAAAGGTTCAGTATATTTGTCAAACATTATTCGGCATTTTAATCCTAACAAAAGCCCTCTCCCCTCTATTCTGTCCTTCACTAGGTTGACTTATATGCCAGTTTTGTAATAAATGTATTGGGAATTCGATTTAAAACCTCCGTAACTCGCTCTTTGATTTACTGTTTAACCCAAACTGAAACCGTATCGAGGTGTGGCTCTGTTTGGTTCGGGCGAATTTTTCTTGGTTGTCTCAGCAATTTGTCATTTAAACTTTAATTTTTGACTCATTTGCCTTCACAGGTGTGAAATCAAAGACCCAGGCCTGAAAATTCTGTTTGAGGTAGGCCCACCAATGCACCTTGGTTTCCTTCTTCACGTGTTTCTTTACTTTATCATCATACAAACACGTTTACGAAACTGCCCGCCACAGCAAGAGCAAGAGCCAGTGAATCCGGGGCAAAGGGACGGCCCGATTTGGGGCCGTGGCCGGGGATGGGGACGTGGCCGAGGTCCGCAGCTGGAGCCAGGACAGTTTCAGGGACGGGGTCACGGTAGGGGCCGCGGGCGTAGCTGGAGAAACACCTAGGGCAGGGGCTGGTTTGCATTATTTTTTTCCTTGAGCTTAAATTTTTTTCGGTTTTCTAATAGACAGGTATGTAAAGTTCACTAACCGTTGTTATCTCGAGTGATTTACCTATGCTATGTTAGGCTTTTGGGACGAATGATCTCTCCTCCTGCCTTGTTGCTGCTTTAAATACATTGATTTCTTTGCTTAAATGAATTGATTCCTTAGCTCAATGCAAAAACGAGAAAAACTGCGGCACTAAATAACCTCTTGATCATTCATGGTTAAACAAGGGGAAAATACGTTGCTTTTCCTGGAATTAGTTGATAGAGTAAAGTTTCCCAGAATTTTCCCAGGTTCAGAGGTGCCTTCTTCATCTAATCATAGTTGTACTTACTGAAATTTTGAACGATCCGAAGAAGTAATATCAGTCAACACCAAAGTTTGACTGGGTGGTGTTTTAGTGGCGGGCTAGACCATACCCAACCTGTTGAGAACCAGTCGCTACTTCGCGTAAAAGGAATTACCTGAGTTATAATGACCCTCTTGGGACCTGTATCACATTCAGGACCACCGCTTGAATCTCTTAATTTTTCAAAATTGTATAATGTGATTCACTCAGAAATCCTTTCTTTTGTTTATCACTGTTTCCATAAAGTGATCGAGTCCTCCATGATTTTTCAAGCCAATATCTTCTGTTAAATCGTATTTTTCATGTCAATCACTAAATGGAAATCTGTTTGCGAACTCAATTCAAACTACTCAAAATAGTATTAGTTAAGTCGAGTCGTTGTAATTGTACTAGTACCAACATCTGAAATTCATTCATTGGCAATTGAAATAAAGCAAACTACCCCGCTTCCTTGGTCCTGTTGGTTTGGTGAAACTTTAAAATACTTCATGATTGGCGTCTATGTTATTGCTAATTCTTATTTTCTTACATAATTTTCATTAAAATACTGCGTATGCGTTTGCAATTAAGTTATCATTGTTATTTTTGACACCTCTGTAAAATTTCATATTTGCAAGAGCCGAAATAAACAAAATTAAATTTTTTTAAATTGAATTTGTTGCCTCGGATGTCAAGGGTAAATGCTATCTGACGCTTAGTAATGCTTGACCGTCCATTTATCTATTTCATGCGGATACAGTTAATTGACTTCGATCCAAGTTATAGAAAAACCGTTTCGTCACTCCTTTTATGCACTCAAAATCTTTCAGCCCACATTTCGAACGAACATGTCGGACACGTTAAATAATTTCAAATCGGCACTCTTAATCCCTATGGTATCAACGAAAGCTTTTAATTCAACTGATTTATCACTTTTGTTTCATGTTATCGAACTCGCCTCCCACCGTAACCACCGTCCTGACTCCAAAATATCATTACTTTTACGGAATATATTTTTACCCACAGAATTAGGACTACAGCTTTACCTTTGTTCTCTGATTATCTAATTGACACACGAAAGTTCTTACAAGAAAGGGGGGGGGGGGGGGATGGGGAGATGAAGCAGGGTGGGTGTCTCTTTCCGCAAAGGTAACATCAAGAAGAATTAAAATGGGCCTTGGTAAAGAGTTTCTAAAGCTGACTTTTCAAGCTTTGGCGGCCCTTCATCATAGCCAGTAGAGGAATTGTGGGTTATGTGTGTCTATATGTGGCCTACGTGTAGCCCTACCCTCCCCTTCCCCAAGGAGAAAACCACCGCAGCCCCATTTTTCTGCATATAGATTAGCATACGCGTTTCCGCCTACCCTTCCCCCCCCCCCCACTTTACCTCCGTCCTACCTAAGGGAAACAGAAGGGAGATCAATTGAAATTTTCTTCTGAGGACAATAAACATTGACTGATAGAGATTGAAAAGCCGGCTTTAATACAAATACTGGGTATAAATTCATACAAAGCACCCGTTGCCCAAATTATAATCAAAGAATACCCATGGCCAACTCGTGCATAAAGTTTTGGAGGGGACAAGAAAGGCGTGATTTTTTGCTCGATAACATGAAATGTATAAGCGGTACGAAGATAGTTTGAATTTTAATAACTGGCACGCTAACGGCAAAAATGGACATCAAAATCCTAAACGCTGTTAAACACGAAGGTGCTCAAATCGACACCGCGAAAGCTTTGATGGTTTAAAGCGACGATATCAATCAACCGTGGACGATTCGTTCGATAAAATTTGCCCGACAACGCGGAGTGAAGCTGCACGAAGATGGGTTTTGGCTTAATCTCCTTGAGAAATTGAAAGTTAGAAGCGCGCACTAGCGGTGGAAATGGCCACTGATATCGTAAAAACGATGATGCTGCAATGGAAACCGTAACAAAACGAGTACACCGCCCTGAGAAGACAAAACCCATCCTATATTTTATTCCTCAAGTCTTCATTTTTAAAAATAAATATATGTAGCAGTGAATTTCACAGGTTTTTAGTCAGAAAAGCACAAGATTATCTTCGTCCACTTCTGATCGATTCACCCGCCAATATATTTACAGAAGATGATCGAATTTAATCACGCTTCTTGATTTGCATCAGATCATAACCAATCGAAGCGTTACTATGTAAAGAAGGGTCACCAACGTTTTGGGGGCGGTTAATTTCTACTGCAATGTGGTTTTATGCTCGGGAGAACGACTACTTGCCACAGTGTCTACATCTCAGTGAGTGAGTGTGTGATTCATTTGCATATAGGAGTCGCTATAAAAACCCGGGATCAATATCATCAGTATCTGGGCAACTGACCACTTACCCCTCCCTTAACCCAACAACAGTCAATTGATGACAAGTTAGGGTTAATTTTTGGTTAGGGAAGGGGTAGGTGGTCCGTTTCCCAGATACTGATATGGATCCAAAACTCGTTTACATGAGTTAAAAAGGTTAACATACAAAGAATTCCTTGAAAATTTTTAGATCATACAGCGTTTTCTTTACGGTGTTTTTGTTCTCATGGTGTTCGGAAAATGCATTTTCATCTTCGTCGCTCACCGCAATAAGTCTTGCGGCGTCTATTATTCTAAACAACGAACACACCAAGTTCATTCAGTCGAATTCAGCAAAGTTTGAAAAGGCGGAAATCGTGACATCGTTGTGTTACATACCAAAAATTAGCCACTCGATTCCCGGATGAAGTAGTCGCATTAATTCTACGAATGTTTTAATTCTTTGTAAAACAATATCGTCCGTATAATAATTTTAAGAAACGCTCCTTCCACAAACACGTCATTTAATCTCTGATTGGCTTCTTATATCTTTAGCCTTTCTTTTAGGGGCTAACGACTGGAGAGAAGCAATTTCAGAATACTTAATTTGATTCTAGGACCAGGAGTAACGAGGGAAAGACTCACCACATCCAATTCTCCGAACCAACTAGCAAAGAGAGAAGTGAAGGATTCTTTGAATCTTGTGTATACTAGTGAAGTCTAGCGATCTGAAAAACTTGTCAAGTCAAAATGTCTTTCCCGCTTGTCAGTATTGCTCAAGGAACAGAATTAACATCGGGGAAGCTCAATGTGTGTGGTAATGTCACCGAAAGCGACAAGAATTCGGTAGCAAAGGCATCTCAAGTCATCTCCGCAAGTTTTGCTGCGGTCTTCTATTTGGTGATGTTCTTCCAGGGCATTCTCGTCATTTGTATCGAGCGCTTTGTCAGAATTTCTTCTTCACATGGAACACTTTTCGTATTTTTTGTGGGGGGTTTATTTGCCTGTATAAATGTAATCACAACTAGAAACAATCTCTATGTAGCATTGAACTTCCGGCTTTTCACGGTACCTCTCATTGGAATTATATTTTTGTTCTTTGGCGTCACTCTGTTCTCCAGAGAACTTCCTCCGGGGGAAAATCGACCAACTTTGGGAAGACAACAGCCCTCGATGGGCTTGGTGGTTTCCATAATAACAGTTCCTCTGGTTGGCATTGAGATCGTACTTCTTATCGCGACTTTTAATTCTATATCAACAGACAAAATAAATGAACACTTGACACCTGTTGAATGGCTCTTGCTCAAGACTGAAAAGTCTCTATTCCTTGCTCAAAAGATTTTCCAAGCTCTTTTCTATCTATGTCTGCGCAAAACAAGAATACGCCAAGACTCCGAAGAGAAAGCCCGATTTTATTTTAGATTATTGTCTTTTTTTAACTTCATCGAGTGGATAGACTCACAAGTAAACGTAGAAAGAGACGTTGGTTTGAGTGGAATCAGGAAAGAACTCGATGGCTGGTTCAATTTTGTGACAGTTTTGTACCAAGCATTGATCATAGATTATCGCTTATTGTGTTCATTACTATTCCTTGAACATTCGGCGGAAGTTCAAAATCAAGACGGCCCAGCTGAAGAGAATAATTATGGAGGAAATAACCAAGATGTTGGACTAAGAACATGTTTTGGATATAGTGTTGGCTGTGTATGCCTCATTGCTCCCATATTCTGTGCATTATATGATGCTGGTGCTTTTAATCTGGATGCAAGGGTCAATACACTTGTTATTACCGTCAACTTGGTAATTGTCATTTGTGGAGGGTGTCTCCTGTTCAATAACAACTTGGATGCTGATCCCATTCAACACAGAGAATCACAAGGAGTCAAAATCATGGTAAGTCTTGGCAATGTAAGCTTTATCTCAAGTAATTATTTTAGCCTCCTTTAAGCCTCTATTTGGATGCAGTACACGAAGCCAGTTTCCTAAAAAATTTAAAAGAGGAAGACTTCAAAGAAACTTCTGTAAATGACCCCGATCCTGAGCCCATCTGACTTAACAACCTTTTCCCACCCACACAGCCCACTCAGGATACGATTGAAGCTTCCAGGATCATATTCACCATCTACATTCAGACTCTTCACGTCTCCACACGTTCCACCGTGGGGAGTCTGGTTACATTTTGGGCCCAAATTTGTAATAGATTGTAGAGATTATAAAACTCCAGCTATTTAATGTATCACCATAAAATTTTGCATGCAAATAGACTAACCCACAACCTAATGTGGCATATGGTTCGCAGACCATAATAAGCAAATTTACGGTTAAATATTTACCAAATTCATCATGGAGGCTAATTCTCACTAATTTCATGCCCCCCTACTTTTTTTTCTGTTCTAGTAATACAGTAAGCATAATATTTCACACAATAACACTACACAAACTCTCCTACAAACCTATTGAGCAATTTTGGTTTTCACCAAATTGTGTTGTCATAGCAACAGCATACTTTTGTAAAGAGTTTAACCTGGAATAACTTCAACAGAATTAATCAAAAAGAAAAAAGGCTCAACAGGTTTGTAGAGCAGCCTTTCATATGTAACTGAGCCAAATTTGGAAGAAAATGGATAAAAGCAAATGAAAAAAGTCTAGGGGGGAATCCAAAAACTCCGTAAAAATGTCTTTTTGAGAAAAATGCTGCGTAAAAATTTTGAAAGCAAAATCAGTGGTGAAACATCCATTAAACAAAACAATCATAAATCAATTTAAA